TTTCTACACACCTAGACACTATAATTGCACAAAAAATAGTTTATAAATGCAAAAAAAAAGTGCATTTAGCATGATATGGCTCCTTTAAAGGAAGAACTTCTATTTTTCATTGTCCTTTTCAAACCAGTTTAATATGCTAATCTGGTTTCATGAAGCCGTTTTTCACCTTTCTCTTGATCTGTTTTGTTTCTGTAGAAATCAGCACGCCTGCCAACACCGTTACACCAACTCCACCTCCRAGCACAGAAACCTCCACCGTCCCCGTCATGATGACAGGTGAGAGCAGAAACCCAGAGGTCGTCTCGGAGCACAGATAAAGCAGTGGTTATATTTTTCTCTGCTACTCCCTGCTGTCTTCTCCTTTTTCCCCAGCATCCCCTCCATCATCCGACAGCGTGTGCGATTTTGACCACGGCCTGTGTGGATGGACACTCGACTCCAACGCCCCGCTTTTCTGGTCCACGTACAGACACGGTGAGAGGATCCCATCGTACCCGTGAAGGGATTCACAAAATGCACAACATGTTCATACAGACAGAGATTAATCACTTATTGYTTGATATTAAATATGTGTTTGTCTGTAAAACCAGAAACTTTTAAATTCAAAGTTGTCGTACTTCCATTCATACATTYAGGATTTGGCAATTAAAGAAACTCAGGTCTGAAACAACAATCAAAATGTGTCCAAAACGYTCTGCAACTTTGCCATCAACTGCTGGTCTGTGGACCTGTTTGAGTTTCTTAGAGAGGGGCTTTTACGGYCAGTAAGTATAATGAGTTTTAACGTTTATTGATATTTATACATTTAAGGACAAATAAGGACAATTAATAATCTGTCTAAATTATAATGTTTTCAAATTAACTCCTCAGCAACTAATTTGAACGATATTCCAAAAAATATTTTGTTAAATCTAAGACAAAGRTCTGTCCGTAAGGCTGGAAATGAGATTAATGAAGTGGCTAGCAAGAGAACAAACAACTGGCATGATCTGATTAGGATATTTCACTCCTTGATTTAGTGTTGTTCACATAATTGTTATTAAAAAAGCATGAGAAAAACTGCTAAAACTGGGGGGGGGGGGTTGTTGCGAGAATAAAAATCAATAAAATTTAACTTCATGTTAGTTTTGGTGAAAACTTGAAAGAGCCGCGTTTGGCCACAGGTTGGAGATCCCTGTCACAACCTATTGAGCCTGACAATTATGTTTGTTCACAGTCAATCATTTCTCATTGGAAGCACACAAATATTTCCATATTTAGTGTCAATATGTGCAGTGCATCATGGGAAACCCTCCTTTTTTACTGCATTAAGCACAAATTTGTAATCTAAACTAGCYTGGTTTAGTGTATCCACTTYATCAGATCCTGTTTTCACCTTAAATTATTAAACCAGACATTTATTCTCATTGTTGCACCTGTCGTTTACAGTTTACAACATCTCACTGTCTGTATCATTATTGTCCGTGTTCGTCTTTGTAATTGAACTCCCGACTGGTTAGCTGAGTTTGCCTGTGGGCAGTTCAGGGCTGAAMGCATTTCGGGAACATTTTGATGATTTTTTTTTTCTGCATCGGCTGCGAGCTTTCATGTACGGCAGCTTGCAGGGAGAATCTTTTCGGGAGGTGGAGAAAATTGCCCAAACGCATTAACTTTTATCAGCATCAACGGGTCTAGACAACAGGACGTTCCCCGACAATTAAACGGATCCGTTCTCCCTCCGCGTCTTCATCCGTTTCTTTTTTTTTTCCAATTTGATTAAAATAATTCCTTAAATTGAAAGCAGTCTAATTTAGCAGGCAGATTTCATTGTCTGCACAGCGAGCGCTTTTAAAATGAACTGAGGGAATCTGAGATGGGTGGGGGAGAGAAAAAAAAGAAACATTATTCAGCCTCACGTGTGACAAATAAAACTCGCTGTGTGTCAAAAACCAGTCCCAGCAGGAAGAGGTTGGGACCCAGTAGCTCCGATTAATTTCAGGGCAGGAGACTCCAAAGGAGAGCGATTATTCCCACTTGTCCTCTCCTGGCCCTCTATTACTTCTGGCGCATCATATTGTGTAGACTTCCATCTCCTCAGACGTTCCCTGCAGAAATAATTATTCCTTTTTTCACTGTGTACATCTCCACAGATCAAACGTGCAGCTTTCTGACGTGCTGTTTAAAGCTACAGAACAGGCTTTTTAGAGCAGTGTTTAAGAAACTTCACCAACAGGGTCACGGTTTGTCCTGATAGGATTTTGGAATCCATTTGCARTTGGAAAGGACTGGGCTAAAACGTCGGGACAGACCTGTGACGTCACTGAATTCAGTGTCGTATGCGCAACTGGAAGTATTTTTCCCAGAGCAATGAATTTCTTACTTCGCTGTCCACAATGAATGTCGGGGGCGACAAACCCCAAAGAAGTATAAATTTACAAATGAGAGAAAACCAAGAAATTTGCGTATGGTACGTTCTTTGTTTTATCCATCCATCCATCCATCCATC